GTGCAACTCACACCAGAACAGGAGGCCTATCTCGCTGTTACACCGGGAGCGAAGATGCTTGTTTCAATTTGGCTTTGCGCTAGTTTTTTGTTGCAATCGGCCTAAGGAATTCAAAGCAAAAACAGATTAAGAACAAATTTAATTTATCTCGAAAAGTTAATCCTATTTATCTTGGTTTTTCCTTATAAGATCTTATTACAATTAATATAAAATTTGGCGGCACTTTGGGTTCATCACTTTTTACCCAGTTAATAAATGTGTACGAAATGTTATATGAATTTTAATCTTTGAAGTAATTATCTACGTTGCAACATTGGAACTATACACTTGTGCAAATTAATTGAAACAGAACGAATAATTCCGTTATTATTTATTCTTTTTCTTATTTTTTCAATGAAACATGACTTCTTGTACATGTTAGTACTTCGTATGTCCATTCCACGAAGTCGTTCCTTGAAGATCGACCACAGATTCTCGATTGGATTTAAATCATCAGAGTTTACGGGACAGTCGATAGTGCTTTGGTTTTCTCACTGGTAAGGCTTGCCAGTGTGTTCATGCAGCGTTACAATTTTCGTACGCTTCTTTGGAGTAACGTCCGTTACAGACAATGGCAGTAGGACAACTAATCGATAGTCGAGACTATAATGTCTGGGCCTGATGCAAATCTGATGCAATCACGGATGACGCAATATTCTTCAAGGTTAAAGAAATTTTATCATACACCCCGAGAATAGATTCATATTACTGAACACTGCAAATGACCTATTCTGAGGAAAAAATAGAAATCGATTACACCCTGTTACTCCATTGGGTCTTAAACTGACCGTATGCTGAAATAAAGGAAACTAAAACGGTTGTTTTAATTTGCACAAGGGTGTATGAATTCTAGAACAAAAATATGAGATGAAACAAGATAAGCATAAAAGTAACTTTTTTATTTTATTGAAATTCTATTGAAATTTTTAGAAATAAATTATTTTGTTATGAATATAAATTTAGAAGTAGGAAAGTAGAATACTACTACTACTACTACAACTAATGATAATAATAATAATGATGATGATGATGAATAAATCAATCTAGGGAAATGGCACCTTAACTCTCTTCTCTCTTCTGGGAACTTCATACACATAGACTTTCCATTTTGTAAAGTTGTTTGTAAATTCCTTTTTCGGGATCGCCATCAGCTACTCCCTCACGCATTTCTTAAACGATTTCAACGGATTTTTAAAAGCCACAGTAAGCATAGAGTGCACTCAGAATGATATAGGGGTCGACAGCAATGGTAATGCTATATTTGGACCAAAGAATCTCGAATTTCATGTGAAGTATTCAAGCCCAGTGAATGATTTCTCATTGCCGAATGATTAACTCCACAAGAGTGTATCTGTTTACACATGCGCAGTAAGATCCGTTTTGTATACAAGTAAGATCACAATCGTAACTGGTTCTCAGGATATTTGAAATGAACAGACTTCATATTCATTTTGGCTCACCTCTTTTAAGATTAAAAAAAAATAATGCTATTTACTGGTGCAGAGTCACAGAAGAATGGTTTTACTAAGTTCTTTGGGTCTAGTCACTGAATCTAACCAATGTCTTTATCCGTTGTGAGTTCAATACCAGGCCATAACAGTGGTGAACCAAAAAAACTAGGAGAGTTGAGTTAAATGGAAATAACTGAGACATCCGGAAGAGGCATGGCACGTGCAACTTGAACAATCTACCCCGGTGAACGAAATAAAGGGTTCGGCTCGAAATTCCAATCACCCGAAGAAGACCGGGGTGTACAACGACCGAAACGCAGTGAATATGGCAATGAACATGAGGATAATAGTCCGAATAATGTAAATAATGCAAGTAATAATAATACCTCATCTCAGAGATATAGACGGATTCTGTTCACAGTAAAATATTTTGACACAATTCCACATCATTGCTATACTACAAAGATGAGTGAGCTATAAGTATAACCACTTCCCAATAACTAATTTACCTACTCTGGTTGTATTAGCAAGGGGTCGTATCTTCCATATTCATCGATGTCACGTTGTAATTTTTTTTTCAATCAACCCCACTCCAAACAAGGTGATAAAGCAAGGAAGAAACTAAGAGCGGAAGAAACTGAAAAAAAACCCTTATTGTTGAGAGAGGGGACATGAAAAGAATAGGATTCAAAGAGATAGAAGCCGACGATTGACGTTACATTGAAAATTTTGAAGGTTGATGAATTCAGGAAGCAAGAATTTAGATGAAGATTCCACAAGCGAAAAGCGCGAGACAAGAAAATATTACGTTAGAAGTTACGGCTACATCTAGCAGTTTCAACAGTAAAATGATGACCTAACTGCCAATCCAGTATTAGCCTTAAATTTGTGAAGTCGGGGCACCGAAAAGGAGAGCTCACCAGAACAATTGGCATGAAAACATTTATATAAAAGCTAGAGCGAAGATACTTTACGCTGATGAGAAAGTGATTGTAGCCGAGATTCCAGGATAGGACCAAATAACATAGCAGATTCGTCTTTGTATTTTGCCGAGAATTTATATATATATATATATATATATATATATATATATATATATATATATATATAGTAGAAGCACCAGTTTAGGTGCTGCAGCAATATTCAATGCACAGACGAATCGTAAACTTATAAAAATCCAAAATAGATTCTGGTAAGAAAAAAATTGTCTTGCACGTGACAGTGAACTAACTTTCCTAGCAGCAAACTTGGCAAGTGATTCAATATAATCGTTACAATTAGAATGGTGAGTTCTTAGGGGAGCCACTCTCCTATAACGACTTTATTTGCTTAGACGGTGGTAACATGGAATTTCTTACATTTGTTGTCAATCTGGGTAAGACTTAGTTGTGCATTTCATAGAAAATTAGGAAAGAGTAATACAGATTTTCAGTTTATTATTATATAATTAAGTGAACTATTGTCCACCATTATTAATTTTTGATAGCAACATTTCGGTCGTTCCGGCCCTCCTAAGGTGTATATACAGATAATTCTGCACTGAACCTTTTATTTAATTTGTTCACGTAATCTGTTCTAGGCATTATTTTATTCAGTTATTTCTCGCCCATTTTCACAATACCAGACTCATAATCAAATTCACAAACCAACGCTTTTACCCGCTTGTCTATTGTGTCGTAGGACAATTTGCAGCGTTAAAACCTAATCCGCTGATTAAGTTTCAACTTTTGCTGCTTCTTCTGTTGGCTGGCATGTTCAGACTGCTACTGCTGCAGCTCATGTTTTGACTGCTGCTGCTGCTGCGGCTGAAGGCTTGCTTTCGCTTGTGTTACTTTTCTTGTTTAGCGGCTCCCATATTGTATTTATTACTAAGGAGGTTTTTATAGCCTAACATATGCGTTGATTCTTTCAGACGTCTAATTCACCAGTGTTCTTCATTGTTCAGTATTTTCACTTCAATCCACAGAGACTGTTAGCCAGCACTTTTCTTGTAGATAATAACTCCTTACCCAAGAAATTCAGACAAAAAGCATTTGTTTAATCTTAAATTATTTTGCTTTTCATTACAACTGCTAAAATAAAATTAGTAATAATAAAACTATAAAGGTAATAAAAGCAAAAAACAAAACAGTTATGAGTGTAGACTGTGCACTAGCTTTGGTTCGGAGTTTTAGAGAAGAAAACCATGGAGAAAGCAAGAAGTCATGTTAATTACAGATAATAAAGAAAACGAATATGGGGAGAATGATGATCGCCTATATACTGAATAAAAAGTGTAACAGTGAGGAGTAATGTTTTGTCGTTTTGCCAGTATGAAAGGGTTAATGGGAGATGAAACATGTTGGTCTTTTTATAGCTGCAGTTTAACTACGATAAGCCGTTCCCTGCAACATCTTCCTAAACCATTCAAATCGTTTGTACCGTTACTCATTGTGCCTTTCGTCGGGTGGACCGACTTCTTTCTTTGGCTGTTTCCGTATTTCAATATCGATTTCCTGTTTCAAAACCTGTCGCAAATAACCTTCTTGATTCGAATAAGCTATTAACTCTGCAAAAATGCTGCTATCTGATTATTTTGCGCAAAATGCCATTAATGCAAGTTGATTAAATCCGTTGAATGACGACCACATTACGCATAACATTTCCACTGAGTTTTCTAATTGAGAACTAAATAATAAATACAATATACTCTAAGATAGGAACCCAATATATTGGACTTTATTATACGAAACTGATATATTGTATAATATAAATCCAATATTCCCTTTGTATAAATCTAATATATTGCATATATTATATCCAATAATATGTGTAATACAATGTATAGACAAATATAGTGCATCATCCAATACACGCATATATATATATATATATATATATAATAAATTAATTGACTTAAATTATGTATTTTTTCGCTACACAGTTCTAACCATGTTTCAAAAATGGAAGCTGAAAACGTCGAATTTAATTTTGTAATTAAATTAAAGACATTAGTTCCATTTCATCCTCAAGCGAATTTTGCAGTAACTTTTAAAATTACTGGGTTTTAAAGACACAATAATATATATATATATATATATATATATATATATATATATATATATATATATAAATACATGAAGAAATATACTCTTCAGGTGTACTATATTTATGGGATAAAGTGCCCAATATCAGAGATAGAGCGTGTGTAAATATAAATATGAAAGTGAACATTGAAGTCAACACAGAGGCGACATGCTGTTTCATGCTAGACTAGAATGCCCAGCTAACAAAGCCATGGAGTTTTATTTTGAAAAGATTGACTCCAAAAAGTTCAGAGGTTATACAAGTACCACCAAAGTCACAACGCTGAACTGAGAGGCAGAAAAACTCCACTATTTCTTTGGAGACGATAACTAACACGGAAGATCTTCAATGAATCCACAAACTCGGAGAGAAAATAGAAGGCTGGCAAAATATCGAAACAGTATACCATGTAACTAAATATGAGAGAACATCTTAATTCATGACCTAAAATCGAAACAGTTTTGATGATGAGATATAAAAGAGAGAGAGAGAGAGAGAGAGAGAGAGAGAGAGAGAGAGAGAGAGAGAGAGAGAGAGAGAAATAAAATACATTAAAAGAACGAGAATTTCAAAGAGGTACGTACATTCTGACAGGCGAAAATTTTTTTTCGCGTGGCTGCTTAAGGGAATTATGAAGCAAGGAGTGAAACTTTTGTTCTGGTAGGGACGGAATTTAAGCCTCCCATGTCGAAGCAAAAGCCTGACAATGCTAAGATTACCATAGTGCCAACATTAACTTTTTGTGGAAGTGGACATCCCATCACCTGTGAACAACGTTTAAAGAAACATTCAATGGATGTACGAGCCAAATTGCCTCATATAAATCTTATATTGCTTTATATTATATAGATACCGTATATTGAGCTATATAATACGAAGCGGAGTTGAAATGATCACAGACAACCAAGAATTCCTCCACAAAAAAAAAAAAAAATTTTTTTTTTTTGATTTCGTCTGATTTTGAGAGATTGATAGATTTGTTTTTTTTTTTACAGCTTAACAACTTTTGTTATCTAAAGATTATTTAGAGCCAGAAAGCATTTTTAGTTTGTAAGAATTCTTTTGGGATAATAATGATTTACTGATAGAAATCCCACGAATTAATCCTTAGTTGGAGTAGAAGCTAGAGCGCATTTACACCTAACCCAAGTTTATTTGCACGTAAGTAAATATAACGAACACGACTAGAATTGGAACTCTGCTCTCCGATTCCAAATTTCGAGTCATTATACATTACACCACCCGCAAACTTTCAACAGCTACTATAATCAAGCGGTCACATATCTAGGTACTGACCATGTTCAAAGTTGCTTAACTTCGATGATCACACGAGAACAGGAGTTTCAACCTGAGAAATAGAAACGAGAACCTTGTAATAGCGCTTCGTTTGCATGTAATATATTGCATTATATAAATCAAGTATAATATACTATTACACTATTCCCTTCGTAAATCATATTCTGCCATCCATTTACTGATGCTCACTCGATAGGTTATGTCCTGTTTTCCTCTTTCCTACTTGTTTTCAATCTCTTGTGAGTATCAGATTTTCCAAGCCTCTTTCCTCATTATAAGCCCTAGAAATATCAACTATCTGGTCCTGCTTTCTGCAAAGTTTATTTGGGAAAAGAGTATAAAATGAATTAATTTTTCTTCTCGTTATATGTCTTCTGGAGATTGGCGATCATGGCGCTCCACACTTTCCTGTTATTTGTAGGTCTTGATAAATTTTCTCATTTTATTATCTCTTCTAAAGCTTGTTTATTTATCTAAGCTCACTAGGTTATGTACTGTTTTTCTCTGTCATATAAATAGTTAACACCAAAACTTGTGTAAAAATAGGTTTTAATACCAGAAATGCTTTGTAATAATAAAAAAAATTATTACCAGCAATAATTTTTGAAGGAAAAATTATCAGCAATACTTAAAAAAAAATACCAGTAATACATACAGCTATACATTCTTTGGAAAAAAATATGACCAGCTACAGATTTCTTCAAGGAAAAATATTCCCAGAAATAGATTTTTGAAGACGAACATTACCAGCAATAAAAATTTTGGCCATTGAGGTTAATATGCCGTAAAACAACACAAACCAAACCCAATGCCTTTACGGATTTCAGGGTCACATTTTCCGTTCTAAGTTAAAACACTACCCAGACATTTAAATTTTTTTACTTGTTTGATTTTGGTATCTCCAATTTGTAATTTGCATGATGGGCTGTTCCTTTTACTGACAACTATGCATCCTGTCTTATTATAATTGAGGTTTAGTCCGTTCTTCTCACTTTTCTTTATTACCTTCTGTAAGGGTTCTTGTAGTTTCCGTTTTGCGTCTATTGTAAACACTGTGTCATCTATATATCTATGTTTCTAAGATTGTGGCCGATAGCAATGAATTCTGGTCAGATTGGCGGCTGGTCTAAAAAATGATATATAGACTGTTGTTAACTGGGGCAAGGAATATCTTGTTAATTTCAACGCTTCCAAAACGAAACAGCTATCTACCAAACATCTGAGAGAACTACTTCTGCCTTCCATCAGTAGGCTGATGCTAACCTTCAGGAGAATGACTAGTTGTGCCATCTCGAGTTAACATTTTCCGCTGACATGAAGTGGAAAGATTATATTTAATCAGTTGCTAAGTCAGCTGCTAAGAAATTTGGTTCACAATGTCGTGATAGACAATTCTTCTCTCCAGAATCTATCTGACACATTTATAAGTCGACCATTCGTCCAGGCATTGAATATTGCTGCCACATTTGCTCTGGTGATCCTGTTATACATTTAGAGATTCTTCATAAAATTTAAAGAGCAATCTGGCATGTTATTGATCCTGACCTGGCATCTCGCTTTCAGTCACTTTCTCACCGCCGTAATGTATCTTCCCTGTGTCTTTTCTATAAATGTTTTCATGGTAATTGTTCTGACTAAGTTTCCTCTAGGGTAACTAGACTTTATGAATTTAACCGCAGTACTAGATTGGTGGCAAGGTCTCGTCATTTTACATTTGAAATGGCTAGATGCAACCGTAAGTTCTATGCTAATAGTTTCTTCTCTTGCACTTCTCGGTTGTAAAACTCTCTTTCGGCTTCTTGTTTCCCAGTCAACTTTGATCTTCAGAAATTTAAATGTAACTCGTTATCTTCTGTTTTTTCAATTCCTTTTATTTTATTTTAGTGTTTTTCTTTTTTCACATACTTTCTAACACTAAGTACCCTCTTGCATCTTAGTGGCTTTAATGTCTTGCTTGGGATGAAAAATAGGTAGAATAAATTTGGTTCGCTTTTAAGTATAGCTTCTGGATTATTCTAATATACTTCTCAAACATTATGTAATATTTAAATACTATTATGCACCTAAGTTATTTAATAGAATACAATAGATTACGTTTATGATAAATATGATTTATGATTTATAGTACTTCATTATATAAATATATTACACTATAGAGAAATATTACCCAGGCACAGTAAAAACAAATTGATATTTATTAAAAGTGCTTTTATAGTTACAGTATATGAAAATATATTTCGTGTAAACTGAGGAAAGATCTTACAAATATTGATTACATTTCAACGTACACTTCAGTATATTTATTTGTACACTTTAGAATAATTACGTGCTGTGTAGCTATCATTACAAGCTTCGCTATGTCCAGGCCTTTCCGTAGCATTACTATTAGAATGTTATTTATCATTACCTTTGCTAGATTTAACTTGAGGCGATGTGAGCCATATTGTCGTACCAGCCAGCAATATAACTATCAGTTCACTCTCTTGCCTGAAAAGGCGACTGCAGCCACTATTATTGTTTGCCGGCAATAGCCTCTGCATTGACAACTAGTATCGACCGGCCTTGTTAAAGCCAGAAATCCGAACGGTGAAATTTTTTGCCCCAAGGCTGCAGCTTCTTACTTTGCCAAAAATCCATTATCATGTCAACACAAGTCACGGAAGGGTTTGGTTGTTATTTAAAGCATCTTTTATCCGGAATAGGATGGGTATTACTAGATGAAAATCGCATTGTGAATCAGATGGTGTTATTTGAAAGGTTCGCTGGATAGAAAGAAAGACAAAAGAAAGTAAAGAAAACGGGTGGAGGAAGTAAAAAAAGTAGAAAGAAAACTACAGTTGAAACAGGCAGAGAAATGGGAAGGTACGTGTGAAAAAGAAGTTGTGTGTGTGTGTGTGTGCGTGAGAGAGAGAGAGAGAGAGAGAGAGAGAACATCTAAGGAGAAATAAAGAAAGAGAAAAAGTGAATATGAAAGGGTGCGTGTGTGACGGGGGTTAGCAAAGGAGGAAAGGTGGGTGTTGGCTATAATTATTTAAAAATGTGTATCTGTGTTTGTGAAAGAGACAAATATAAAAACCAACAGAGGCAGAAGGAGAAAAAGAGTGAAAGACAGTGAGAGAGAGGGAGAGAAAGAGATAGATAGAAATATATATATATATATATATATATAGAGAGAGAGATAGATAGATAGAGAGAGAGAGAGAGAAAGAGAGAGAGAGAGAGGGGGGTGAAATGTATGAATAATTCCGTAGACATATAAATATTAACTGAAATAAAAAAGCTGAATTTTGGTCTGAAATTTATATGATTCATATTTATCATTGGATTAAGGGCATTAACAAAGAAAAGATTTTCTGTGTAAATGCATACTTTTTCCTCATTAGGCTTAGTGATATATGTACGTGAGTGGAAATGCGTGCATGTGTGAGTATATGAGAACAAATATGGAAATGGAAGTGAGTGAGTGAGAGAGAGAGAGAGAGAGTGAGAGGGGGTCATTTTTGCTTAAGTTGTAATATTGAGAAGAACGATAAGATTACGAGGAGGGCAAGAAGAGAGAGAGAGAGAGAAAAACGATGACTGTGTTTTTGTATATAGGGAGAGGAAAAGAAGAAAGTGAAGCATACTGTGTGTTTATAAGTGTGTCAAAAAAGGGATAAAAAGAAAGGAATAAAGAAAACAATAGAAAGAATAGCAAGGAAAGAGAATAGAGATAGATATTAAGAGAGAGCAAGCGAGAGAGAGAGAGAGAGAGCAAATGATAACAAAAAGAGGAGAAAGATAGATGGATAGATATGATAGGAACGGTGATAGATAGATATGAAATTATTGAGATAGTTACATAGATATGAAATGACTGCGATAGATAGATAGATAAATATTAAGAGAGAGAGAGAGAGAGAGAGAGAGAGAGTAGAAACTCACAAAAATTAAAAGGAAATAATAGAGAAAAAGCGAGAGGGCAAAAAGAATAGACAAAGACAATGAAGAAAATTATAAAGCGAGTAGCGGAGAAATAAAATAAAAAGATAGATATGAAGAGAATTGTGATAGATAGATAGATAGATAGATAGATAGATAGATAGATAGATAAATATGAAATGACTGAGATAGCCAGATATGAAATGAAATAGATAGATAGAAAGATAGATAGATAGATAGATAGAGAGAGAGAGAGAGAGAGAGAGAGAGAGAGAGAGAGAGAGAGAGAGAGAGAAAGATAGAAAAAGGAAAAGTGAGAGTGTGTGGTTGTGCGCATGTGTGTGTTGGGGGTGTGAAAAAAAGCGAGAGAGAGAAAGGTGAGCCGCCATTGAAATGATTGGTCATATTTGTAACTTTCCCTTTTCCGTTTCATTCATTAGTTCGTTCAATTATGTTCGCTTCTCTCAAAGTTTTATGATAGGAAGTCCAAGTTTTCGCACGCTTATTGCTCGCTGTTAGCTTCAGTAAAAGCGCTTCTGGCAGAGGAAGAAAAAAATCTTATAAAATAAATAAAAATTAGAAAATAAACCTTTAATCGAATGTAAAATAAAAGGAAAACATTCGAGCAAATAAAATTGCAAATCAAAAGTATAGATTTTGTAAAAGTATTTCATGAGGAAGTAACAGCTTTCTTTTTGCGGAAAAATACAGAGAATGAGTAAAGATTTCCAACTGTTGTTTTCAGGTATAGCTCATAGTTTTAAAATTCTATTCTCTGTGCCGAGTTGGAGGTGTTCATTATCACAAGCTGATTTCGATTTAAATCATGTAAAAATCCGTTGTCATACATCAATGTGAATCAAATTTGCGAAGACTAAATCTGCAATGATTTTCGTCGAGGACAACTCTTGAATAAAACTCTCCACGCACAGCTAGAGTCTTTTTTTTATATACATAATCCATATTCGTCCAGGGATCACGCGCTCATGACTTTCCACAGATTTCTTTATTATATGTGAACTGCCAGGAATTCTTGAGAAAGAAACTTAAGTGGCTACCAGTTACCTTCTCGGCCGCTTTGAATTCAGAGTTTTCCTTATTTTCGACTGGTCACTACTCAAGGTTAGATAACCGAATCTATCATAATTAACCCATAGTTGGGGGGAAGAACACAAAAAGTGTCTAATTTTTTCTTGTTGAAGAAGAAATAAATTTACTTATTCAGTAGATGCGGTTTATTTTAATTTTTTAATCATCTTCGTTGTTTTGTTTTGTTTTCTTCTCTTCGTTGGTCTTCGACGCATTGAATATAATCAGCCAGTTTTTATCCCATTGGGTAGTTTGTGCAAGATCGAAAGAGATCAGTCACTAATTTCTGACTATTGAGTTTTAAGGCTATCATCGGCATAGATGTTTATTGTTGTGGATTCCGGGAATGGAATCCTGCACAAATAAATAAACAACGCCAGAAATTGAGATAGAAAAATAAGTGTATTAAACGTAAGAATACAGACTTGAAGTGAAGATTAGTAGTTCAGGAATGCGGGTTAGTAGAAAGTATATGTACAAGTCTCTGTAAGTAAAGCCGTAATCATCTCTCTCTGGACTCTTGTATAACTCTCGTAGAACAACCTGTCTCAACGTATCTCCACGTATCTCAATGTATCTCCACAGGTATTCTCTCTGTCAGTATAAGTATACTTTGGACGAGTCCATCTTATGTAAAAAGGGGAGAACTCCACAACATTTACAAATGATCTGAATATATTCTTAGGTCATCATTTATGTAGATCAAAAAACGGCTTAGTTTGTGGATTGACCCCAGGGGGATGCCTGCGTTGACCTCTAGAGCTCCGGAGGACTGGCCATTGATAATTACCTTTAGGGATCTACCTGTTAGGAAGGATTTTATGACTGAAAAATGCTTCCTGTGATTCCATAACTGGAGAGCTATCTAATGCTATGGTCCTCGAGGTGTGTTTGTCGTCAAGAGCCTCACAGATTTTGGAAGTTTTTGTTAGGACGTCGCCAGTGTATCGGACCGACCGAAATCCATACTGCTCGTTCTTTTTTAGGTGCTCGACGACCTTATCGAAAATGGCCTTACAAATTTTGCTGATGGTACTGAGGAGAATGATGGGTCCGTACTGGGAGGGGTAATATCGCACTCTTGCGTTCTTGAAACCTGGGCATACGCTTGACATTTTTCACAGGCTTGAGAAGGATTTATCCTTCAAGCAGCAGTTGAATTCTTTTGCTAGGATTGGGGATAATTCCGGGTTGATGTTCTTAAGTTCTTAAGGACAACCACTAGAATTTTGTCCGAACCAGTGGCTTTCTTAGGGTCAAAGCCTTTGATAAGTCTAGAGACTTCTCGTGATGTGATGATAATATTCCTGAGATTGTGCTCAGGGAGACATGGGAACTTGCGGACGGTATGGCGTTTGTTATCTAACGTTGAGTTAGAGGCAAATATGGAGGCGAAGAGACTCTCATATGTTGAGGAAGATATGACGGGGCCATTTATAATTGAGGGAACAGCTGCTTTACCTCTGTTCAGGATTTGGTTGGTGATCTGCACTTGGCGTAGTTTTCTAGAACATTTTGCAGCGATTAGGGGCAGTTCTGCATGTAGTGAGGGCCGAACTACTTCGCTACTTGCGATAAATATTGAAGTAGTGATTACAGTGAGTTATAGCTCCAGGGTTGACTGTTTGGTTTTTGCTGGAGTTTTTTTGGGGGTGGGGCGGGAGTATAAAACTCTCCATTCCAGAAAATATCCAATCAGCGACAAGGGCAGCAGTTTTTAAGGCAACAGAAGTTTGGGAAAAGAGCTTCCATCATATGCGATCGAAAAATGTCCCAATCTGCCTTCGCAAAGCGAAAAATCGTTTTACGGAACGGTACATCAGGGGAAGCCTTAGGTTTGGCATCAATCTTGACACTGATTAGGGAATGGTTTGACGTGCCTAGTGGAGATAAAACTTTTGACAGGCATTTATCGGAGCAGAAGGTTAGGAAGAGGTCGACTCATAATCTTTTTAATGTGGGGTGCCCATACGCGTACACAGAGGTCATCGCAACGAACTTCACGCTGGAGCCGTTATTTCACCCCTCCCCTTAGATGTAATGAGAGAGGAGCTGCTACAAGGTTGAAATCTCCGTGACCAGGTTTTTCCTTGAAACATGCCAGAGAGATATTGAGCCAATACCGCACTTTGATCCCAGCCCGTAGGCCGGCTCCTTTTGGTCGCGATGAAAGCCTAGTAACTGTTCTTTCATTATGGTAGAAAGTCCTGGAGATTCCAACCCTGCGGCAGCATCTCCTTCATGCACTAAGAGAGTTTAGGTCGGTTTAATACCGATACCAGCGTCATAGTAGTCGCGGGGACTGGCTAATTTTTAGTCTTGGCCTGTATGCATATTCATGTGTATGGATTCCTCACCTAAAACACCTTGTACCATGTCCTCTCTTAGTGGTGAGATCAGGTATAGGTATTTCTCAGAGCGCCCATGTAGCTACCTAATGTGTTTAAGGTGGGTTTAACGGAAATACCGTGGGAAAATTGCCCAAGGACCTTCGACACTTCCTTTTTGCGAGACGCCTCATGCACCAGGCAATAAATCCAGCCCCCTTCCGAAGGAGTAGTACTTGCTGTCGGGGAGGCCCACTATATTACCAACAAACGGCGTTCACAGCACAAGTAGTGACATTCACTTCACATAACAGTTATAAAAGCATATTTTAAGAAATATTTAATTTGTTTTCATTTTAAAAATGGCCATAAATAAGCAATGTTTCTGTCACTAAAGGGTTTTTAATTAATCGTGTTTGCAGAGTAAGAATTTAAAAATTCAAAATTTAGTCGTTAAATTAAAAACCTACGTAATAATAAGCATTGTTGTCGTCTGATATTCCCGATTACTATAAATTAGTCGAATGGGATCAAATGAATTATGGATACACAGTTAGGTGATCATGTATCTTTCGATACATGATTGACGAGGCAGATTTTTACCCAACAGTTATTTGCCATTTCTTTCTGCAGTGGACCAGTCAGGCGATAGAACCTGTATTTTACCCATAGCTGGAAGGAGGGGGGGAGGAAGAAGAGGATTGATACCTTTCCTAAGGGTATTAGCACGCTATCCATTGCTCCGCCATGTCTCCGTGCTGCTTAATTAGATTTTCTTAAAACTGTATCGAACAAGTGAAATTGTAAATTTGCTGAATCCTATTTTCTTATGATCATAAACATGAAATTATTTAAATGTTTTTCATAGTCAACTCTACGCGGCTACGTCAAGAGTAAAAATATCACGTGGACTTAGCCTAATAACAAAAAGAATTGTAGAAAATAGTTACAATGCTGAAAATGCTTTTAAGATGCTTCGATGATAGCTTACTTTTTTTCTTTTCGTAGGACGGGTATTTGACCATTAATCTTAAATTTAATTTTCTTTAATTGTTCTTATTATGACTATAAAAACAGAACATAATTCAAATATTTCTCTCATGATTATCTCTATGCAGCTATGCTGAGATTAGGAAATTCTAGTGGACATAACATAACAAAAAAAATAATACTTTAGAAAATAGCTATCTTGCTGAAAATGCTTTTTATACAGAAATTTTAGAGAAGTAAGAGAAATTTTATGCAAACTGATTTTCACACTTCATACGCTGAGTATTTGGCTAATAT